TTATTCTAATAAAATGAAGAGATAAACGATTTTGTAAACATTAATAAATATAAATAATAGGTAAAACAAATAAAAGATAATATTCAAATTTAATGTTTAATTACGTAGGATACGTTTTTTAAAAAACTAATAATTTCAGTATTTGTTTTTAATTGAAAAGTTTTACATATGTGTTTAAGCCTTAATTCATTTGATTTAATTTTACAATTTATTTGAATACCTGTATTTAATTTTAAAATCTCCATTGAGGTTATGGAATTCATCATTTGTAAAGCTTCAATTTATGTATATATATATATATATGGATGTTTAAATCTAATTAAATATTGGAACTTATTTTTCCAACCTTTTCTGATATATTATTAGTCATACTATATTTATGTTTCTTTTGGTAATAACGCGTAAACGGCTGGTAAAGGTTTTATTTTATAAATTACCTACGTGTAGTACACAAAGTTGATAAAATCCTTTAGACTTTTAGAGCATGACRAAAATGTTCCGTCCATGATCACGTGATAATATTTCTAAGCAGTTTGGAGATTATTATACGACAATTAATTGATCGATTATCATAAAATAAAAACTTGCTGATTAGGTTTTACTGATCTACTGYCGTCGTCCACTTACCCTCTTATATGAATTGTTACGGATTCTCCTTAAATTTCTTTTTACATTATTTTCATTAGGCATCAAACAAGCGGCTACGTCTGTTAATTTGGTAATTTCTTTTGCGTACACTTTAGAAGAAATATCAAAATTGTTTAAACTATTTTCTTTCATCGCATTTATAAGGCACGACATACTTCAGCTTCAGCAGAATCAGGATTATGAGAATGTTTTTGAAATTTTGGTTTTGGACGAATTTATCGTTACACTACCTTTACAATAATGTTTCTTTCGTTGAACACAAGTATATCTAAGCCCATCGCCTACTTTTTTTTTTTAAACATTACACATTAATATAATCATTATTTATTACTTTTGTTTTAATTACAGTGAAAACTCTTTATAACGAAAAACTCTATATTACGTAAATAACATTAAGTTAACTTATAATGGTTGGTTTGATTTACAACCTATTAATTACTCTCTATTACAAAAACTCTCAATAACGAAAGAAATCACATGGTCCCTTCAGATTCGTTATAGAGAGTTTTCACTGTATTTCAATTATATTGGAACATTCTGAGTCCATATTGAATGAATATTATGAATCTGTACTACACTACTACAGAGTACAGACAGTAGACACTAACTAATAACTGATAACTATTGCCTAATGCTTATAGGTACTTACCTACTCACGATTATCGTAATCGCTCGGTGACAATTGTCTGTGTTCTAAAAATATCGGGTGCAAAAAGTCCGATATCGGCAAAACCGTCGGGTGTCAATTGTCCAAATACACTGCAGGATTGATGGTTGAGTACCATTATTATACTTCAAAAAGAAAAATTAGAAATAGGTCAAAAACTGGCTCGCTAGAATGGTCTTGTTTCCATTGTTAAAAGAGTTGGAACAAAAATGAACCAAATGATTTGAGAATGGCAAAACCAGATTTTGATAGATTCTTGGGTAAGTGTTTTATAAATGAAAATTATACACCATATTATTTTAGATTCTGAACGAAGTGATGAACCTAATGATTTTACAATGATGTGCTATATTGACAAAGTGGGTTGCTGATGAGTTAGTAAACTCAATTATATACATTGGATCGTTCGTTCCAGAATTCCGAATGGGCAGCGAACCAACGAATTATGTGTTCGTAAGTATTTTATCTTGTAGTATTTACTGAATAATAAAGTATTTATGTCATAGGAATCCCAACTAAAATAAATTAAACATTTTTCAGTAAAAAATATCCATTTATTAAGGTATTCGCATTATACAATTAAGCTTCAAAGCTAAAAATTCAAATTACTTATAGAGGTATCTACATACTGTCAGTTTTAAAAATTATAGTACATATTATAAAAATAATCTTATACTGAAAAATGTTCAATTTATTTTAGTTGGGATTCCTATGACATAAATACTTTATTATTCAGTAAATACAATATAAAATACTTACGAACACATAATTCACTGCCCATTTGGAATACTTGAACGAACGATCCAATGTATATAATTAAGTTTACCTAACTCAGCAACCCACACATTAATTAATATCCTCCATAGATTTGGCATCACACCTTAAAATAATATTAACATTGTCTTCTTTAACAATCTCATGTTTAAATGATGCTGGATAAATCATATTTTAAATTTTTTTTTTATTAAATAAATCAAAAATTTTCAAAATCAAAATAATATAGTTTCAAAAAAATATATAATTTTAAAACATTGAATATTGATAATTGTATAATGTTATTACAATGTAATAAAGCCAATGAGAGCGCTCGATTTCCTGTGGGTCTCTAGCATGGATAATATAGATACTATGGTTGCACAACGAGCACGGATATGACGGATTGACGGCTGCATAGACTTATAAAACACTAGATAGCCGACTGTAAAAGTGTAAATTACATTCCCATAAGAACGTTGAAGTCGGGCCGCCATAATATGTCCGCAGGGCAATGTTTACATAATAACTCAATAGATAAGATACCTATATTGATAAGTGATAATGAACAATAATTCAAATCACGGTCTTAGAAGATATCTTCTAAGACCGTGATTCAAATAATGAAAAAACGAATTTCTTTTCATATTCTATAGTCAAAATTTCAAATTAATTATTAAATTATATAAAGTAGTAATACAAATATTTATATTAATTTTGTTATCATTAGTAAATATTCTTAYCAACCATGCGATTTTCTAAACATTGTCCTGTTGGCATATTATGGCGGCAGACCATAGACCTTATACTCATAGACGGAGCAAGCTAGTCGTTCCCGCGGTAATCGGTGGCTGCGCTGCACATGTTGTTTCATACTTCTGCGCATGTGCGTAGGACAAACCAGGTTGTGCATAAAACGCTTATTATTATCGTATCGTATTATCAATAGTAGAAATATGTCATGAAGCAGAAAGAACTTTTCGATCTTTTAATGTTTTTTT